ATAAGACCGCTTTCTCCTAGAAGTTTTGTCCGTTTTTGATTTGTTTGGACCTGGGACTGGGAGAATCGAGTACAGGAGTGCACCTATTGGAACCCATTGGAACGGCCACTGTAGAAATCCATTTACAGATATTTACACCGATAAAATTTGCTAAATTATTCAATCAGCTGTAAAGTAACAGTAATATCGACCAGTGATCTCAACAAAATATTTGTAGAATCCAATGAATTTCAGTAGCGTCTGCTGAACTGGTAAGTACTCACAAACTGATCCCTTCATGTTGTGAACACGAAATTATTACGCAAATCGATAATAAGTCTACACGATGATTGTGAACAATAGTGATTGATGAAAGCAAAACAAGTTGGAATGGCAGCACCAGTACGTAACAGTGAACAACTACTTAAGCTTATCAAGGAGACAGGCATTAAAATATGGCTGTTACTAGAGCTATCTCTCAAAAATACAGGCATTTCTTCCGCTTGAGATCCAGGAGTTCGGACCGATGGACTGAACACTTGGGGGAACAGTTCTATGGGCATTCAGCTACACTTTACTAACCTACCATCTTCAATCAACCTGAAAGGCGACTTCACGTATGTCCTCCAACTCTCAGTGAGGTTGAAAAGGCCATATGTAACCCATAATGTGGAGATCAGATCTCTGATTCATCGACCCTTAAGTAAAACCATGCACTTTTCTCTCTAACCTTTGTGTCGTTTAAAAACGACTGTGTTCCGATCCCAGATAAGCCAAATATTTCGAAAGCAAATATTCTAGAAGTTATATCCAACGCTTTTGGTAGGTTGAACTATGTGCCAGGAGTCCTCTACAGAAACGATTTCGTTGGCTTCAAATCAATTTACCTGTTAAAGATACAGCACCATGCTAGTCCGGAACTAAACCAAATATCTAATGACACTCTCCATTTTGCTTTGGCTATGATGCGTTCTTACTGTTTGTCAGATTTACGAAAATTCGGAATTTTCGTTTGTTGAATTTTTACCTAGTTATATATGCAACCACATAGTACATGCGTTGGCTCCCAACACGTTTTGAGGTCTAGCATCATAAGTGAAGAAATAGTCGTTCAATATCTTATAGAATACATGATAGCTAGATGGCGCCCGCGCAAAATGAATATGTAGTACAGAATATGTGAAGAAAGAAGAAGTTCAGTAAAACAACCGGTGGTACTAGAGGTAATATTAATGAATGTTTCTATTTAGTCAACAGCCTTTTCCTCGTAAAAGTGAATTCACTACAAGCGTAAAAGTATGATTTATTAGTACATTATTATAATATCATAGATGTATTGAAATTCGAATCAAACATTTGATTTCAAAATTATCAAATTGACTTCGTGCAAAAGTACATTTTTCTGCAGATGCAGACTCGTAATTAGGTGACTGATTTCTACTTCTTCGGCCACCTGAAACGTTTTTAGATATAATTACACTATTTGATATCTTACTGTTAGGGAAGTAAGATCCATGGAACTCATTCAGAGAAGGTCCTAATTTTCTGATTTTATTCTGAAAGTTTAAATTTTATGTTACCGCGCCGTTCCAGCTTCAGCTTAAATTTTTCCCTCGGAAAAACTTGTCCATCTTTGGCTATGGACTATTTTAATACACTATTTTGTCGCTCTCTCAAGGGCGTTTCTCGTATTTTCTGGGTGCTTGTAGAAAACATTTTCTTCGCCTCATCAAGACTTCTTCATCTAGTTAGCAGGGCCTGGAGCATCCGATCAGAATAGCCTATCGTGTCACGGAGTCATTGCTCTTCATTCCGTTTACTAAGTTAGGTGAACTCATAATAATTTCGAGCGTATTGCTAACACACATGATCATTCGATTTAACAGCTTATAGTTTACAAATTAACATGATTTGTGTAGTAATAATGACAGTTTGTTACTGAAATGGAGAAGATACAGAACTCAATAATAGTAAACTTTTAATCAAGGGCCTTGAAAACCGTTTATTAATATTCGCAATGTAAAGAACTGAGAAAAAATTCCAAATATTTCTCAACGATCATTATGCTGTTCGCCGTTACAGTTGTCAATTTATTAATGCGGGAGTTGGCAAGGGCCTCTCTTGATAGAGCTCTTCCTTTTTATCCTCTATTTTTGAATGAGCCCTTTTGAATATGTGGTGGAACGCTTCTACGCCCCCGCCTAGAAAGGGTTCACACTTTCGATGCATAGCGGCTGCGTTCGTTGGGGAGCTAATCGGCCAAAATTTGATTGTAGTGCGGAAGGGTTGACGAACAGGAAGCAACCAATCAAGCTCCCGTTGTCACCGATAGTCTTCTGAGTTAAACTGTACCAGCAGTAACGTGCCAGGTTTGCTGCTCGAGTTGATGTGCCAAATTTTTCTATAGGATTGGCATGCCACACCAGCGTGGCTCGTATCCAGAGTCTGAAGATTGCGTTCGTAGGCGTTCGGACCAGATAAAGCTGCAGACTTAGGACGGAACCAGATTGAGCGAAGGAGCCAGAAACGACCAGTGCGAAACCATTCGTATACCAGATATATTCGTAACCACAAAATCGACTGAGTGCATTGACAAGAGCGTGGGTGATCAGGCCAGCTTTCGCCAAGGTTGACTGAAGTCGACGGTACCAAGAGGGCAATGGTATAAGGTATAGGCTCGGGATGAAAAAAATCGAAGAAAAAGAGAAATGTGTAGTATGCACGTAGTATGATGGTAAAATCCTATGCCGCACCAGTGGTTGATGGGTAGTTCGTCGAGAAAGCGTACAGGTAGGCGTACGAGGCGACCGGAACGCGAGACCGTAGCCTCGTGCGTACCTTGTGAGCCTGCATTCTCATCCGCAGTCAAGTGCGGCGTGGTCTGCTGATCTGGACGTGAGACCTCAGTCTCTCCGTAGATAGTGCAGATGACGCGTGCTGCTGACTGGAACGTGAGAAGGAGGTCTTTGATTTCGCTAGCGTAGGATCAGGAGGAAAAATAAGGACCTCGCTAGTGAGTTGGACGAATCCAGCATTAAATCTCGATTTACCTGGTAGGGCACTGTCATTGACGTGTGCTGGTATGAGACAATCAATGCTGACTGTATCCATCAACCTTGAAGGTCTTTTCGTGACGAGAGATCACGTGAAAAGATCCTTCGTAAGGTTGTTGAGTACCGAAACTACTAGTAGGAAAACTTGCGGACAGGTAAATAACTCTCGAGTGAGAGCGACCAGTCGATGTCATATTCGAGTTCACACTGGAGGTAGTATTCGCATCTACGCAGATAGTCGTTGAAGTTATCTGATATACATAAAATCCCTGCACCGTGGTGTGAAAAAGTTCCCCACGCAGATGCAATGTCGTGCCGTATATGAGTTCGAAGGCGGAACATTGGATAACTGCCGTTGCTGCTCCGTAATCGCCATGTCGTCTCCAACAAATGCCATCTTTCTGCGAACTGAGTGGAGAGAGGAGTCTTAAGGACTGTGAGAAAGACCAAGTAATACATATAGCAAGTAAACTGTCAAACTCACGCTTAGCGAAAACTAAGTTGTCCAGTGCCATTCAGCGAGGTTTTGACATGATTGGGGGTCTGCAGGTGACGATGTGGCTTAACACATAATTAATCAGCCGTTGAATCTCCTCGGTTTCGTTACTTTTTGGAATTCATCGAATATAACATAGAAATAAATAGCAATGCGAAAAATATATATATCGGTGATTCGGTACATATCTGTTTGCGTGTCAAAAACCATGGATTTGATATTCGACGAAGTATCGAATAACTCAGCCTACGTGAATCCAATAGCAATTCATAGTGCTGTAAGGAGTCGATGCCGAGTATGGCTATGGGAATATCAGAAGGGATGAACGTCCGTAGATACTGTCGTCCGTTATTCAGGTTGATAGTTAGCTGTCGTGTACCTTAGGTAGGAAAGACAGACATTCGCAGTGCGTTGTCGAAGCATCGTAGCTTATGACTTACTGCTACCAAACGATACGACAGAAACTTGGGCACTTGTGGTCACCAAGTACCTAGCGTTAGTGCAAAAATCGTGCACTTAAAATAAACTAACAACCTGAAGTGACGGGGAGAAGACAGGTGAAAATTCAGTGACCTGCACCTTGGAGTCTATTATTATAGCTATTTACCATTTCGAAATGTTGTTGCAAGTATAATGCATATTAAAGACATTATTAATAGTATTGCAACATTATAAAAATGGTGATGGATGAATAATAGACTCACCGTAATTGACTTTTTTGAAGAAACGTCGGCTCACCAATTGTGGTGAGCATAGTCAATCTGGTATCTCGACTCGCTCACCACAAATGTATAACTCACGTCACATAACATTAACGGATTTCTGACACTGTGGCAATATAAAGACGCTAGAACTATTAGTAGTAAAGATAATAGATAAGGGCTTCGGAATAACTTACAGACTTTATCAAAATGGTCTACAATTCGGCGATTTCCGATCAGTGTCCTCAAATGCATACCTATGCCTTTTGTCCATCAAAGTGAAGTAAATACAGTGTACATTATTCCAGGCCAACCTTTCGGTCATATACAGGCTGATTTATTACCTATCAGTTAGAAATTAAAAACACTATACATTGTGATGTAATAGCTACAACAGGTCTCACGACACTTCTTCCAACATATAGAGAGTAGTAAGCAAACTAGGAGCTAAGCCTTTTTTACTTTGCTCATTGTTCATGAATTTATTATATGTAACCGTCACCTGCCTAAAAGGTGATAGTGATGGAAAGGAAGAAGTCCGATTAACAATGACAAAGTTCAGAGATAAAGTAGTAAATTACTGGAATTATATTCCAGGACACAATATCAGGCCTTCTGATGATAACTTCAGAGTGAGGTCAAAATATTCGTAGTACTCTGAATTATAAGGGCTAATATAGATCGATTGACTGCAGAATTTGAGAGCGTATGAGTTATCTTAATTACATTATGTCACTCAAGGCCGTCGGTGTACTGTACTTTTACCATATGCTATCACTTAACTTGACCTTGTAAATGCGCGGGGTACTCATATACTTATCAATCGCCTTATATTCGGTTAGTGTATCTGGCGATCACAAAGAGGAGTCGATACGTAACCTTTCAGATGACAATAATTACCACGAACTTCGAGCGGATTCTTTTCATAATAGCAATATCAACTGGCGTAAGTGGGATTCACATTTTTTAAGGGCAAATACTTCGGAGCTAGCAATAATTATTTTTTGCCAGATTTGGAAAAACCCTGGGTAAAAAATTAAGCATTCTAAAATTAGCTAGACATAAATAAAAGGCTCCAATACAGAGGCTAGCAAACTTCTGAGAATATAGATGTGATATTCTAAGAAAGATTAGGATTGTTTTGGTTTTGGGAATCAGGTTGCTTTCCGACAACTGTAATAACTATACTGAGGGGAGGAGAATGTCTCTCCCTAGCATAAGTAAAATCGCCACCCAAACGTATGCAGTTGAATAATAGTTTTTCTAAAGTACTCCATTTGTGGCTACATGTTTTACAAAATTGAATAACATCGTGTTTTTTTATCCTTTAAGTCTGTTTACTTGATAAACAGTTTTAATGCTCGTTAACTACGTTTTTGTTTCTAACCTTTTGCATTATACAGTCAAAGGATCACAACCTCTCCAGTTAGTTATCCATAGTTGCAGATAGTTTGTTGGAGGACGATTTATTATTCTAAATTCAACCCTTGTGGGTCTAATCAACGCAAGCATCAGGTCTGGAGTTGTTTTTGAGTTTCATGTGCATAATTGTCAAAGTGGATAGTTTCAGCATCTAATTATCTGGGTTCTTCAGTAATCCTTCGTGAAACCGTATATAGATGCTTTAAAGACTTGTACATATATCATGTAATGGTGTTACCATAATGCTGTTTTACATAATAAGGAGGAACGAGATACTTTTATGGTTGCAATGTGTATGTCAATATCCTTGGTATATGGGCAGCTATATGCCGCGACCGTACCTGCTCCCTTGATAAGGTGATCAGACTTGCCTGTCACGATGACCTAACCGAGCTATATTGGCTGGAACATATGTTCCTGTTGGTTCTGCCACACCAGGCAGGAAGGTGGGACTACAAGCAGCAACTCGAAGTCTGAGGGTGAAGTCGAACGGCTGACTGTAGAGAGGTGTGACAGCAGTAAGGTGTATACCTCTGAAAACCAGCATTTGCAGTGACGCTGCCCTCTCACTAGAGAGGGAGCGGTTAGAAAGGTTCGACCCTAAAAACGTCACACATCGCCTTCATTCAAGGATTTCCATCTCCAATGTGGTGTCACCATCATCAATCATCACCGAAAGCAACGTAGAAATATGCACGTAAGTACAAAATTTCAAGTTACCACACCACATCAGCACAGAGATACAACTGGCAATTCAAATCCCACAGTAGTAGATATAGTAAGACTGTTAGAAGTAACCGGAGAGATTAAGGTTCGAGATGTTATTCAAGAAGTATAATTCAGTGAGGTAAATTTAGGAAAAGAACGATAGAGGTGATGATTAATTCAGAAGGTTAGGATTTCATAGAACACAAAGAGTAAATGCACCTGCACGATTGATAACGATTTTGAGCCATATCGTACAAGGTCTCTCACCATCAGTTATTATTTTCTCGCGGACTCCAACCACGTAGTCGACACCTGTCGACATGACTCAGTCCATTTGTCAGTGACTTCATGGATTCGTTCCATGTTTTGGTTTGGCCGCCCCTTAATGCTGTCACACTTCTCTACAGTCAGCAGTACGACTTCGCCCTCAGACTTTGGGTAGCTGCTTTTAGTCTCGTTGTTCTCCAATCGACCTGCCTGGCATGGTAGAACCTTCAGGAACATATGTTACAGCCAATATCGCTCGGTTGGGTCATGACGATAGGCAAGCGCGACCACTACGTCAACGTAGTAGCTGTGTTTTTCTTCGGGATTTCATGCTTCCGAACATAGCTTGAAAAGTTTAAAATCACAATTCGAAGAAAGGTCACATAAACATCTTACTTGGTCGTCTGCAGTATGTTGTATTTAGAGTCATTATAATATAGTTTCTCAAAATCTCGAAAAAGAGATATCCTTCCATGATTTGGGTGGTAGAGATACTGCGATTGCTCTCCATCATGCAAAGCGTAAGAAACTAGTTTAATAAGTATTTTCGCCAGGTTTTATTTTAAAATTGCAACACTGCTCCCTTCGTTACTTACTTACTTACTCCTGTTACCCCCAATCGAGCATAGGACGCCCACCAGTTTTCTCCAACCAACTCTGTCCTGGGCTTCTTTTTCTGGTTCTTTTCAGTTTTTGTTAATTCTTCTCATATCTTCCTCTATTTCTCGGCGTAATGTATTTCTTGGCCTTCCTCTTTTGACCTTGAGGGTTCCATGTCAAGACTTGTCTTGTGACGCAGCTGGGTGCTTTTCACAGTGTGTGTAGAAATGCAGCCCTTGTTTTTTCGATCCGCGCCTTCAAATCTGCATTAGATCTACCTTGGTTGTCGATGGTGCTGCCAAGATATGTAAACGTGTTAATGTCTTCCATAGAATCTCCATCAAGCGTGATTTGTTTGGCGCATGTTGTGTTGTATGGTGAAATCTTACTTTTCCCTTTGTGTATGTTGCGACCTACTGCTGCAGAGGCTGCTGCTACACTGGTCGTCTTCTCTTGCATTTGTTGTTGCGTGTGCGATAGAAGAGCCAGGTCATCTGCGAAGTCCAGATCATCCATCTGCATCCTGGCTATCCATTTGATACCGTGCTTCCCTCCAGATGTCGACGTCTTCATAATCCAGTCGATCACCAGGAGAAAGAGAAAGGGTGAAAGTAAGCAACCTTGCCTCACACCGGTCTTCACCTCGAAAGAGTCAGTTAGCTGTCCTCCGTGACGATTTTGCAGTCAAATCCATCATAAGAATTCCGTATGATGTTGACTATTTTTTCAGGCACACCGTAGTGTCGAAGAAGAGTCCACAGTGTTTTCCTGTCCACGCTATCGAATGCTTTCTCGTAGTCGATGAAGTTGATGTAGAGTGGTGAGTTCCATCCAATTGATTGCTCCACAATGATCCGTAATGTTGCGATTTGGTCAGTACACGATCGATGCTTACGAAATCCGGCCTGTTGATCTCGAAGTTGGGCGTCTACGAAGTCCTTCATTCTGATTAACAATACCCTGTTGAAGACTGCCTGGTATTGAGAGAAGAGTGATGCCTCTGTAGTTCTCACACATGCTGAGATCGCCTTTCTTTGATACTTTGATCAGGTATCCTTCTTTCCGGGAATTTGTGCCACCGATGACCAGTTTGTTGAAGGCACATAGGTTCGCAAATCTCTCACCATTTTCGTTCCTTTCTCCCAGTCCATGTCGTCCCATGATGTCTTCATATCCAGTGTTGTCAATGCCAACTGTTGCATTCAGGTCTCCCATAAGAATCGTCAAATCCTTTGGTGAACATTTCGCGACGATTGACTGCAGCCTTTCGCAGGATTGATCATCAACGTCGTCATTGTAGTCATTGGTAGGTGCATAACATTGGATAACGTTCATTGTAATGTCCTCTTTCTTTGTTTTGAAGGATGCTTTGATGATCCTGGGTCCATGAGATTCCCATCCTGTCAGTGCCTTTTGTGCATGTTTGGACAGCATCAGTGCAACTCCTTGTGTATGTGAAGCATTTCCCTCTTCATGACCAGAGTATAACAGCATTTCCCCTAAAGTTAGTCTCAGTTGTCTTACCTATGTCCAATGTATTTCACTGATGCCGAGCACCTCGATGTTGTATCTTTTCATTTGTGTCGCAACTTGAAATAGTCTTCCAGTCTCCCACAATGTACGAACGTTCCATGTACCAAAAAGAATGGTTGCTCTGGTTGTCAGAAGGGGTATCGGCCCCGTGACTTCCGAGGGAACTCGGCTTTCATCACACGACGTCATAATTCTTCTTCCAACTCTCAGGGCAGAGTTAAAATGGTTTGAATTATTTTTTCTGGTTAGCGTTTTTTTGGCAAGTTAGTTTTTGACGGAATGGGGTCGCCAACCCCATGTCCAACCCTCGTCCTTTATCCGGGCTTGGGACCGGCAGTAGCCTCGAAGGTTCTACAGGCGGAGTTGCTCCCTTCGTTAGCATCTTTTAAGTTTAGAAACGCGCACTTTGCATAAGTTTTCAATTGCCTTTAATGCTTGAATTTTTCATTGGAACTGAAAAACTAGTTTGCATTTCGTATGTTGCCATGTCCTGTTCTTGAGAATTCTACTAGTTCTTTTAATAACAGAAGTGAAGTAAGGCTTCCATTTCCAGCAATATAATGAAACATTTACGACATTCAGTGACAATATAAATATATTAGAATGCGGTATCAAATAATCATAATCGATTCCGTATCCTTTTGTTAGGTTATCGTAAAAGTATTTTGAATTCAATTTAATAAAAATTATGTATCTGTTTAGAAGTAATTTGTCAGATGATATCCACAACTATTGGTAAACCAATCAGATATTTCTCTGGTGTCATGCTAATAAAATGACGTGAAGTTACGACTGCGTTGATTAACTGAACAGTCTTCGTAATCTTTAGCAGTAAATTTATCTCAACATACATGATAACAGTAAAGGTGAATGATTTTTCGTACTGTTGAGTTCTTTAAGCACGTTTTGTAGCCGTTCTGAACAGCATAAGCTCTTGTTTTATGAAGCCCGGATCTTGGATCTAACAGTCTAGCTCAGAAAACTTAACAATACTATAAGAAAATGTTTTGTAACTTGTGAACGAAAACAGAAATATGGTGATAGCCGAATGTGATTTTTTTTTTCATCCGAAGTTACCAATTCATGTCATTGACCAGAAATGATTTAACAGTTTGTCAATGAAACTGCACTAAAAAAAGTATATGAGCCTCCTAAGGATCTGTATCTGAACGTCAACAGTCGAGTTATAATTGGTGATAAACCTACCACACTTTTCAATCTTCAGTGATGTTCGTTATGATTACCTACTATCACTGTTTTAACTTTGTTTCATTATAAACGTCTTTCCAAAAACTCACTAGTCCATATAGACAAGTGGACTGAGTCATGTCGACAGGTGTCGACTACGTGGTTGGAGTCCGCGAGAAAATAATAACTGATGGTTAGAGACCCTGAATGACGTGACTCAAAACTGTTTGCATTGGCGCAGGTGCATTTACTCTTTGTGTTCTATGAAATCCTAACCTTCTGAATTAATCATCACCTCTATCGTTCTTTTCCTAAATTTACCTCACTGAATTATACTTCTTGAATAACATCTCGAACCTTAATCTCTCCGGTTACTTCTAACAGTCTTACTATATCTACTACTGTGGGATTTGAATTGCCAGTTGTATCTCTGTGCTGATGTGGTGTGGTAACTTGAAATTTTGTACTTACGTGCACAGTTCTACTTTGCTGTTGATGATGATGGAGAGGCTCCACAGATGTCTGCCGCTCATTCTGGAACACATGTTTAGACCCAGATGATGCTCTAGTACGAGCCCGTATCTTCTCGGGTGTTAATGGACGTAGAAAAGAGGCATCAAAGAGAACCTTTGGTGTTCTATTTAATGTAAGCAATGCCGAGAACATATTTTAAGCGCAACTACAAAAACAGACAGCCATGTAAGTGATGCCCACTCCGGGGTAGCTTGGAATGATATCCACAAAGATGTGGAAACAGCAGTGATATCTGCTAGTGAGATCTTCATTAATTATGACAGAATACCACATTATCTTTCCGTAGATTCGACCTCTAAAATTTATGATCCGTGTATATTGCAGGTATAAAAAATCCTTTTCGATGAGATAATCGTGTCAGTAAACACATAGTTCTGAGAAATCAGCTTCTAATGACTGATAATGTTCTTTTTTTAAGTCCAGGTAATTATTTCACAAGTTCATCCAAGAATATGAAGTTATGAATTAATTGTTAAGGCACTCTGCTTTCGATCACCGAGGCTTCAAATTCTAACTTCACTTTGACGGTCCTACTAGTGCCACTAGCCTTCACACAAACGGTCTTATTCACTTGATTACATAAATCTTTCACTTGGTAAGGTGCATAGCTTTGTAGTAAAGAACTAAAACTAGGAAAAAGAGGCTGTTCATAAATAGCACTTAATTAAGCATTATAATTCCTCACTATGTATACAGCAAGGTACAGAGTGCCTATTTCACTTATTTACTGTTGTTTCCAGTCGACAATCAAGGTAAATATTAAATATGCAAAGTATTTAATGTTCCCAGATATATATATATCTTAGAGATTATACTTACTTTGGTTGACATTCTCCTAAAAATGATGGTAAAAGTAGCATACAGTTGACTCTTGATCTTGCATTATTTTTTTCGTACACTTTTGTACACTTTATATCTCTCAACCCCATTCCCCACTAATACATGGCAAGATGTGAAAAACAATCAGCTGCATATTTGTGCCGGGTTATCATTTTTTGACATAAAATTTAGTTTTAACTTGCTGTCGTTAGTTATCACCGGAATATAATTACGTCTAATATCCTTTTGCGTCGTAAAGGCTTTTTGTCCGTTCTGTTTATTGTAGTCTTTAGACACATACTTACTGAAATTTGTAATCTGTTGAGTGCATCACTCATTCATTTGGTGTTACCTAAAAAGTGCTAACTTGAAATGCTTGAGATTTCGTTCTTATCATCGATGCCGTGCACAAATTCCTTTTGCTTCTTCACGATAAATAACTAGACTTATTTCCTTTTTTATAGCAGAAATTAGTTTCCTCCAGTCTGGATGGTCACTTCAGGTGTCTACAACTGAACAACCCCATATTATTCCTCAATGTAAACTGCTGAAATTTAACTGGATAAATGGTAGTTTTAGCTACGTGAAATTCCTGCATCGTCTACAATTGTCAGATATATTCATGTCACCTTGGTCTAACTCTCAATTCACTTGGCAACCTGGATATCATGCTAAACATTATGACAAATTGAGTTTGCATGATTGTTATATCTTATTCATTTTCTCTACCACTTGCCGATTTTCTAAAGCTTCGTTGCCCTATATAAATGCCCTAGCTCGAGCATATCCCCAACTGCCAGTTTATGGCATCCAAGTGGAAGATTATCAAAAATGGAGTCTGCGTACGTTGTTTGTTCCAAAACTCAAGATTATCGTTAATGGAAAAATTTTCAACGAGTATTCTGGTTCGGACACTGATTTATTTGGGATGGTTGACTTCATTTGGTCGAATATGCGTAAGTTCAGATTTCTAATTATAGACTAAAAACAAAACGTTTAGTAATGTTACTAAAAGTGCCTGCCACCAAGTGAATATTTTACAGGACGTCAGTCAGTAAGTTACAGCGTGAAACTTCGTACGTAGGTACATAAGTTCACGCTGCCATACCACATTAGAACAGAGATGCAACTGTCAAATCGAATTCCTTAGTCGTGAAGATAGTAGAAGAATTACTGGTAAGAGAGAATTAGGTTCAAACATATGATTAAAGAATATAGTTCAGGGATCAGTTCAACTGGCCTCCAGCCACTCTTCGGTTACCCACGATCTCCAGTCATCCTGAATGGCAAATCGACGTAAGTCCCCCTAGTCTTAATGAAATTGAACAAGCGTTAGGAAATCTGAAGCGAGGGCGACCTGCGGGTCCTGAAAGACTGAACCCTGAGATGATTAAGGATGCTGGTCCAGTTTTAGCAACTAGGTTGACCGAGATCTTAGGTAGAATCTGGGAACTGGACGTAATACCATCAGACTGGTCTCAATCACTGATTTTCCCAATCTATAAGAAAGGACAAAAGTCTTCTTGTGACAATCACAGGGAAATAAGTCTAACTAATATAGTATCTAAAATATTGGCCTCAATAATACTTCGACGCTTAACGAAAGCTCGTGAAGAGCAGACTAGAGAAAACCAGTCTGGTTTTCGACCTGGACTTGGCTGTATAGGCCACATCTTCACACTACGACAGGTCCTGGAACACAGACACACATTTTAGGCGTCCGACAATAGTTGTCTTTCTGGAACTAAAGGCGGCATTTGATTCTGTCGATCGTGAGGTTCTGTAGCAGTGTCTGTCATTGAAAGGTGTACCGAAGAAGTACATTAACCACTGGTCGGGTGAGAGCCTGTGCGAACTATCATCGGAATTCTTCACTTCAAGTGGCGTGCTTCAGGGCTGTCCACTCCATCCATTCTTGTTCAATTTTGTCGTAGACATGCTTTTTTAAACTGCGCCAGTAGAACCTTCGGGGCTACTGCCGGTCCCAAGCCCGGGTAAAGGAGGAGGGTTGGACATGGGGTTGGCGACCCCATTCCGTCAAAAACTAACTTGCCAAAAAAAACGCTAACCAGAAAAAATAATTCAAACCATTTTAACTCTGCCCTGGGAGTTGGAGGAAGAATTATGACGTCGCGTGATGAAAGCCGAGTTCCCTCGGAAGTCACGGGGCTGATGCCTCTTCTGACAACCACAGCAACCATTTTTTTAGGTACATGGAACGTTCGTACATTGTGGGAGACTGGAAGATTATTTCAAGTTGCGGCAGAAATGAGAAGATACAACCTCGAGGTGCTTGGAATCAGTGAAATACATTGGACACAAGTAGGACAACTGAGACTAGCTTCAGGGGAACTGCTGTTATACTCTGGTCATGAAGAGGAAAATGCTTCACATACACAAGGAGTTGCATTGATGCTGTCCAAACATGCACAAAAGGCACTAATAGGATGGGAATCTCATGGACCCAGGATCATTAAAGCATCCTTCAAAACGAAGAAAGAGGACATTACAATGAACGTCATCCAATGTTATGCACCTACCAACGACTACAATGACGACGACAAAGATCAATTCTACGAAAGGCTGCAGTCAATCGTCGATAAATGTTCACCAAAGGATTTGACGATTCTTATGGGAGACCTGAATGCCAAGGTTGGAATGGACAACACTGGATATGAAGACATCATGGGACGACATGGACTGGGAGAAAGAAACGAAAACGGTGAGAGATTTGCAAACCTATGTGCCTTCAACAAACTGGTCATCGGTGGCACAATATTCCCGCACAAACGCATTCACAAAGCCACATGGATTTCACCGGATCACACTACTCAAAACCAGATTGATCATATCTGTATCAACAAAACGTTCAGAAGGACTATGGAGGATGTGAGAACCAGGAGAGGAGCTGATGTAGCCTCAGATCACCATTTGCTAATCGCCAAAATGAAACTGAAACTAAAGAAGCACTGGACAACGGGACAGACAACATCACACAAGTTTAATACGGCCTTTCTTCGGGATACTGTAAAGCTCAACGAATTCAAGATAGCCCTCACTAATAGGTTCCAGGCCTTACAGGATCTACACAATGGAGAGGACACAACATTGGAGAACAATTGGAAAGGGATTCAGGAGGCAATCACTTCAACATGTCAGGAGGTCCTTGGTCGCAAGAAGCAGCATCACAAGGAATAGATCTCTGTTGGTACTCTTGCAAAAATTGAAGAAAGGAGGAACAAGAATGCAGCAATCAATGTCAGCCGAACAAGAGCGGAGAAAGTTACCGCACAAGCTGCATACACAGAAGCAAACAGGGAAGTGAAGAAGAGCATCAGAGCTGACAAACGAAAATACGTGGAAGATCTAGCAACGACGGCGGAAAAGGCTGCAAGAGACGGAAACTTGAGACAATTGTATGAAACTACAAAGAAGCTCGCCGGAAACTATCGTAAACCAGAACGACCAGTGAAAAGCAAGGAAGGCAAAGTAATCAGCAACACTGAACAACAGCGAAATAGGTGGGTAGAGCACTTTAAGGAACTCCTAAATCGACCAGCTCCTCTGAACACACCAAACATCGAAGCAGCATCCACGGACCTCCCAATTAATATTGGCGCACCTACGATTGAGGAGATCAGTATGGCCATCAGACAAATCAAGAACGGCAAAGCAGCAGGACCAGACAACATTCCAGCAGAGGCAATGAAAGCAGATGTAGAAGCAACCGCGAAAATATTTCACATCCTCTTCAAGAAGATTTGGGATGAGGAACAAGTACCATCAGATTGGAAAGAAGGATACCTGATCAAAATACCAAAGAAAGGCGATCTCAGCAAGTGTGAGAACTACAGAGGCATCACTCTTCTTTCAATACCAGGCAAAGTCTTCAACAGGGTATTGTTAAACAGAGTGAAGGACTTCGTAGACGCCCAACTTCGAGATCAACAGGCCGGATTTCGGAAGGATCGATCGTGTACTGACCAAATTGCTACATTACGGATCATTGTGGAACAATCAATTGAATGGAACTCACCACTCTACATCAACTTCATCGACTACGAGAAAGCATTCGATAGCGAATCCTCCCGTACAAGGGTGCGCCGATTGAATAGACTTCAGAAGCAAAACCCTGCGGCGACCAGTTTTATTAGAACTGGCCAACTCAGGTTTGACAACTTGCTAAGAATGCTGACAACGGCTGTAGCTGCAGAGTCACACCAAGTGAGGAGACAGGCTACCAAGTGCTTCTAACAAATCAGGAATATGTGGATTTGAAGATCATGATCCTAAATGAAACATGGCTATCCCTTGATACTTGAGATAAAAAAATGAGCTTGCAATGTTTGTCACTTTTATGAAGCGATAGAGTATACCAGACAGAAGGCGGAGTGGCCTTATCTATTAACAGTGATTTCAAAGCCGAAGGACCACACGGCACCAAACTAACCAAAGTGACAGAATCATTTTGATGTTGTTTGCACTCAAACGACATTATATACTTGATTTTAAGGTATTTACCAGCCTCAGTTACTTAGGCCCAGAAAGACAAACTGACTGAAGCAGTACTGCAACTGCAATTAATTAGGTATAACAACATACTCTTAGCTAGAGATTTCAATACTTCCTCTGTCAGCCTCAAAGAACAGAATACAAATTCCACATGTTGGTTCAAAAGTAGACTTGGCAAAACGATAAAAAGACGACGACTGACTGAGCATGTGAGAAACGCCACCTGATGAAGTAGGGATGTGGAATCCTCAGAAGTGGATTATTTGTACACAAATGATTAGCCAATGGTCGAGAATGTTCAGTTACACAGATCTATAGAAAGAAGTGACCATGGTACAGTCAGGTTTAACACGGATACAAGCAAAAGAGAGGCCAGCCGAGTACGCGTAATGTAGATGGCTAACAGATTTACATAAAACTAAAGATAATTTTATGGATTCTATGATGTTCAATGAGAATAAGTTACGACAATTTCGTTACGACGAGCTGCATAATGACTGTGAAATAATGCAAGGTAGAGCCAGATCTGCATATAACTAGAAATGCGTGATCAATTTACAGGCCCCTCGGTAAAGTAACCACGTCTTCTGCAAATATCCAGACTAATACATAGGTATTGGAAAAAGTGAAATGAAGAGAACGGGGCGAGGAGCAGAATAGAAAATATTCTTGTTCAAAGACGAACAATGACTGAGCACATGCGTTTTCAGATAAAACAAAGGTATGTTTACTCGGACGTTTTTTTCATTAGAACACTAACTGCATACCTGCATTTGTGTAGGTTAATGAAGACACTTCAGTAGTAAGATAACGAATGGACATTTAATCTTATGAATAGAGGAAATTCAGAATAACCAAATTGTTAGCAACAATGTTGATTTACAGAAGATAATAATGTGGCTGAGTGATATTATGCTTTTATCATATTTTATTGATTCTTTTTATTTTTAACTCTGTGGCTCAAGAAGTTATGAATGAGCTCTTATTCTGTATAATTGTCGAGATCTTACATTGAAGGACTACATGGTATCCAGCGTGACATTCTGAAAATTGGAGCAATAATCTGTGTGCTGTAGTTCCTAAACTAATTACTTAATCACAATATTCAGAGTGTTGCCCTACTACAGTCATTCGGATTCAGTCACCTACTACATTCATGATTTGCTTCATTCCCAATCGTGCGCCAACAAATGGTTAAGTAAAACGATTGTCTTTCATCACCAAGACCAATAACCAGTGGAGTTAGCCAGGGAAGTGTATTAGGTGCACTCTTGTTTCTGATGTACATAAATGATATATGTAATAATATAAGATTTGGAAGAGCATAGTTATATGCTGAGGATCTGAAAATAGTACACGGCTATAAACCTTAAGATATGGACGAAAATATAGCTAAGATTCAGAGTGATCTTGACAACTAAACTACCTGGAGCGAAACATGGCAACTACCGTTTAACCAAAATAAATGTGGCA